CTTTGGGCAGTCCTTAATTGCTGTAAGGATTGTTGCGTCCAATTTTGGGCTGCATATGCGGTCTAGGAGGGCGATTTTGATCGCGTCCCTTCCCCAGTGCCAGCCGTCCATGTGCGTCTGTGTTGCTAATTCCAGGGCCTCCCTTTTTCGTAACGCATTCCACTCTAGCTCTTGCTCTTGTTGCCGTGCCTCCTCTAAGCCGCCATAGCTTCTCTCCCTCTACCGCATACTGGGATGTGCGGTGTCTTGCCTTCTTCTTGTCTCACGGTTCTGCTCCGTGGTCCATGTCATAGATGGCTTCTATGACCTCCCTGAATACCGGTTCGTCCTTGAAGCGTTCTTGGAGAGTAGTGGCCTTTGGATCCATTGGTGATACATATAGTATGTCGTTTACCATGCCTGTTTGTGCCTCCCAATCCTCGCTTACTGTCCATTCGCTTCCGTCTCCTGGTTTATTAGGTTGACCTTCCCCCATCCTGCTGAGTCCATCCACAACAACGTTGAGTCGCCCTGGTACATGTCGAACGTCGACTATGTTATATGATAGTATGCCTTCTCGCCATCTCGCGTATACTGAGTTCAAATTTGCCTTGAGTAGTGTGTCCCGCAATGCGCTGCAGTCTGTTTCTACTTCAATTGGAAAGCCCCAAATGATTCCTGAAAATTTGTCGAGGCCAAATTTCAGCGCCGCAAATTCTAGCAGGAAAGACTTATATTTGCGTTCTGTCTTCGATGTTTGCTTGGATGTGAAGCCTATTGGGTGAGCATATTCTACCCATTTGCCTGCTGGCGTTAATGTGCGAATCCTTTGTGACAGTACTGCTGCGAATCCATCGATACATCCATCCGAGGTTATAATGAAGTGGGACCCATCATAACGAGGTGCTTGTAGCACCGGTCTGGACGTGATTGCCGCCTTTAAGTCCAGGAACGCTTTGGTGTGTTCTAATGTCCAGTGCGGGCTCAATTTGAAGTTACTCATTGCTTGTCTGTAGGCTGTCTTGGATGCAGGACCTTCAATTGGTACCTTGAGTAGGAGGTCCCTTAAGGGTCCTTCCTTCTTGGTGTATGCTTTGATGAGGGACCTATAAAATCCTGTAAGGCCCAGGAACGACATGAGGTTCATGGTATCATCTGGCTGCGGCCAATCTACTATGGCAGTGAGTTTCGTCAGATCTGGTTTGACTCCATCCTTTCCTATTGTACCACCTGCGAACACCGTTTCTGATACGCAGAGTTGGGTTTTGCTTGGTGCGATCGAGAACTGACACTCCCTGAAGCGTTCGAACAGCGTGTTTAACTTGTCCATCATCTCCCTGAATGTGTCCGTCGCGCAGCCTCCATCATCCATGAACAGCTCCATGTAATATGTTACTAGGAGATCATGGAGCCTTTGTGCGAGTGTGTCGCAGAACATTGTCGGTGCTCCCGTGATCCCCATCGGCATACGCTTGTACCAAAAGTACCCTCTGCCTTCGACGTAGAATGCCAAGTACGGATGCCATTTCTCTGGGACTTGAATTGCATAGAAACCTGCTGCGAAGTCGAAGGTAGAGATATAGCGGTGTCCACTTAGTTGTTGTTGTTTGGCTAAGATATCTCCTTGGGGCATTGGTACGACCTCGGTAACTTTGTTTAACTGGGCAAAGTTTTGACAGATTCTCCACTTCCTAGGGCGTTGTTCGTCTTTTTGGGCTGGGGGTTGGGTGGTTTCTCTTTCTGGAAGTTCAAATGCTGGGTTAAGCCCCGCTGTTCTGTATTGATCGTTGACTCTCTGCATTAGCTCGTTCCAGGGGAGTCCTCCTGCTTCATGTGCCTTCTGAGCTATGACCGTCGTGGCCGCGCATTTGATTAACTCTGGGGGGGCTCTTTCAATGAGGTTGGCATTCAGCATATCGTCTATACGCTCGTTGTAGAAGCGCGACTGTTCTGGTGTCAATGGTCTCTGGTGGATCTGCGTGTTGAAGGTTATGTTCTCTGGTACGTTGAGGTTTAGCGTCGAGCCCGGTATCGGTAGTACTTCCTTCAAGGCGAGTGCGAAGACGTCCGCATTCTTTGCTACGAATTCATTCAACTCCTCCAGCTCTTCCACGGTGAGGTCTGTTCCTAATGTGACTTGGCGTTTAATTTCCTTTACTCTCGCAGGGTTGAACGGGTTCGTCTGTCGTGTATAGATTGAAGAGTGTACTGATGATGGTGCTGGCTCTGGTAAGTCCCCTAATAGTGGAGTGTCTGTGTCCTCTCCAATGACGTTAATATTGGTCACATGGACTGCGTGATTAGATCGGTCAGTGCTATGTTGCTGGGACTTGAGTGAGTGTGGTTGGACTTCCCTCGAGGGGAGCTTAACACTCCCCACTATTTTCTCGTGTTTTATAACTTCTTCTTCCTCCTTGTTCCTGTCTCGTTCTCCGGCTTTGGTGGACTTGAATTGAAAGGTAGGCGTCCATTGGCCCATGATAATTGCTGATGGTCTCGTTCTTCTAGATTGCGGATACTCGTTTTTTGCGGTTAGATTGTGTCATTTACCGCACTCGGTGTTCAAAATGACTTGCCTCGAGGGGGGTGTCTCTGTGCCCCCCCATAGTGTTTCCTGCTGTTTGATGTCCACCGTTAGGTTAATGCTACTGTCTGTTTGGTGTAGTGCGATTGGGTGTGCTATTTGATTCTCAATTGTGGCTGAGCATTTTTCGTCCGATATGCTTATGGTGTCTGTCTTGTAGTCATGGACTGCTTTGAATGCTTGTAGCATTGGTTTCCCCAGAAGGAATCCCCATCCACCTCCACTATCAAAGACTTCGAAGTCCCCTCGCGTCTTTACTCCATTGATGCTGATGATACATTCCACTTTGCTAGTGAGTTGACTATGTTTCCATTTGCCATCCTCAGTTTCCGAGTTGATTGGCTCCAGTTATCTAAACGGTGTTTAATTTTGTTATAGATCGACGTGCACATTGCGCTAATCATTGCACCATCGTCAAACAGTCCCTGGACTCTTACTGTTTCTCCCTGGGGTCCTTCTAATGAGATAGAGTGGGTGAAACGGTACCGCCTCTTCGCCGTCCAATTGGTCCTTAGTTGTTGTCACATGCCCCGCCGAGTACAGGTCAACGACTGAGATGGATTCGCAGGATTGGAGTACAGTTGTGGGGGGAGTAGCTACAGGCTCATTGGAAGATTTAGGGCAAAATGGTGGGTGGTAGTCCTCGCACGGTGCCTCTTCGAGTGCGAGGACAGTGCTTTGGCTATATACTTTCATTGATTTGGGTCAGCGTAGTGCCTCTTTCTACGCCGACCCGTTGCCTTTTCCCTCCTCCTGCTCTGGTATTTCTTCAATCCAGGCTGACATGTACTGCGGTATATGGCCAGTGACGAGCGAGATTGGAGTAGCTGTTGCGCGGTTGAATGGTCCTAACACCTTGCTTACTATTGCTCTCCAGGCGGCCTCTTTGTGCGAGAGTCTTTCTGCGTGGTCTGCTGGCAGTACACAGTTTCTGCCGTTGTGCCCGTGGGTCCCGCAGTTGAAACATTCGCTCGAGGCGATTACTGCTGTGCCCGGCTTTAAGGGGTACCCTGTCTCTGGTGTGACCCTTGTGTACTCACCCCATTTCGCATTCCACTGTGCGATTTGTGACGTATATGCTGTGTGGCCTGCAGGGGTATCGGGATGGTGTATGGATGATGAGACGAGTTGTCGGGTTGCGTTCTTAAGGTCCTCCGTGATCACAAGAGGTTGGGGAACTGATGCTGGTTGCCTGGTAAACATGGGCTGTGGGTGTTGAGTTGCCTGGAGGGTGGGCATGCGCGTGACAGTGTTGTTGCTCAAAGGTACGTTGGGTGCTTTCGTGGGATTGACAGCCATTCATGCGAACTGGTTCTGGAGTGTGGCAAGTGAGTCCTGCATGGGGTTGCATTGTTGCAATCGTGCAACGTCTGCGCGTAGCATGTTTACTTCGTGCTCTTGTTTGCTATGCTGCTCCTTCTTTTCTAAGACTCTATTGCCTTTGAGCTCTTTGACCTCTGTCGTGAACGCGGCCCAATCCGTGTATTCATCAGCTTTCAGTAGGTCTTTGATAACGCTCGGTAGTCTCCCTCTAACCTGCCAGATCATTGAGGCACCTGCCTCGATTCCTGCTCTCGAGGCTAACTGCAGCGCTTTGGTTGCCCAAGCTTCATGTGTCCAGCATTCCCTGTCATGCAAGGTAGTCTTCGTTCCTACCTCTGCATCTGACATGAGGTGCTCAATCAATTCTCTCTCATACTCCGCTTTAGTCTTCTCTGCAACTACAATTGGTGGCCAATGGACTTCGAACGCGGTTACGAACGCTGCCCAACTTGTTTTTGGGCTTGGTAAGAGTACTTTGAACCATACTTCGGCGTCCAATCCTGTGCCTAAGTAATCGCCGAACGCTTCTACTTTCTCGGCGATGACCGTAACTGACTGCTGTCTCATGGCGCGGTTAAATGACTTTAGGAAGTCTGCTGGGTTTTCTGACTTGCACCTGTCTCCATGGAAGATTTGTGGTGTTTCCGTCAACATGGTGCTTCTGGGTTGTACTAGTGCGAAGAATTCGTCAAGGTTGTAGTCTGGGATTGTCGAAGTTAGGGTGAGCGGTTTCGTTTTCAGACGGCATAATGATAATTCTGTATAGAGTTCCGGTTAGCTCAAAGTCTAGGGGTGGGACGTCGAGTTCTGGGAAGGAATGATACTATGTTCTTCGACGCTGCTGAGAGAGCTGAGAGATGAACTGTGAGAGCGTTCCTCTGGTGTGTCAAGCGGGGAGGATGCTTCAGAGGTTGTTGTCAATGAGTGTGCTTTCCACAAGCCTGCCTTCTTTAAATTTTTTTCCGTTGTTGCGTGTCCGTCGGATTTTCTAGTCCTTAAGCTGCGTTTCATCAGTTTCTGATGATACTCCACGTAAATGATAGCTTGATACAGCCCTTTTTTGTATTTTGCAGGTGTCTTTTGTGGACACCTGCCGTCTAGCTTAGCCTTTTGGGCATAACGCGACGTAACTGAGTGGGCTGCTGTTTGACGTGTGCTTGTTGGCGAACACGTTGTCTTTTGGCGCTTTTAACTTGCGGCCGAGTATGCTATCTCGGGTGGCTAAAAACTTCTTTACTCAGGTGTGACTGAGCGACTGCAGGCCGAAGCAAATGCTAATGCAATGAAATTGGCAAGGTTTGAATGTGCTCTGTTCACCACGTTGGAGTAGTGGCCAATGGACTTAGCTTAGAACAAGGCTCAACCAGTGGAGATGATGATGTGCTCTACGAACAGGCTCAGGCTTATGCTACCTGCTGACTAAGCTAAGGAAAGAGCCGACAGGCTCTTGGTGTGTGGCTCTTGTCCTTGGGACCCCTGGTCCAACGTCGGAGTTGTTGAAGATCGTTAAGTTGCCCAATGCCAAGGGATGCCTTCCATCGTCGCAGAGTATCAGCAACTTTGGACCGGTGGGTGCGTTCGTCTGCAAGTCGAAGGTTGAAGTCAACATTGTTAAGAGTGTTGCCAGCACAGAGCTGCATCTCAAGAGCATGAACAGAATCGTCCAGGTTACTGAGTGTTCGCTCAAGGGTCAAAATCTTCGATATTTGCTCGTCATTGTTGGTTTTTGATCTCCCTTTCTATTAATGTTAGGGAAATATGAAAATATAAAATAAAGCACGCACTGGATAATGGTTTCGTATGGTGCTCGACCTGAGCCCTCCATTCCGGGCGTATATTAGCTTCATCTACAGAGAGTTGTCGAAGCGCATGTTCTGCACTGCTCTTCTTTGTCTGGCAACGAGTCCATCTGTGACTCAGCCACTCGCCAAATGTATCGAGATTTTTGCCGTCAAGATGCCGAACTTGCGCATTCAGCACAAAAAGCCGTTGGTTCTTAATGTTAGTCAGTCAAGGTATACGAATTAAGATACTTACCCCCAGAGACCCACAAAGGGGGGGATCAACATCTTGAGAGCGCTCCACAGGCACTCACAGCCTCTCCGTCAGAAAGTCCAAACCCTTCACATTTGCGAGGGTGATAAATAAGCTGACAAGGCCACTGATGTCCGTACACGTGAAATACGGATATAGAAAAGACGATACGTGAGAGAATACCTTGCTCGAGAAAGTTGGTATTTAAGACAACTACGCTCGAGCTGACATGCAATATCATACAAGGATACCGACGGTCATGGTTGGCGGAAGATGTCGAAGAGCTTTTTAATAAGTGCAAGCGCATAATATTATTTTTCACCTGCTGATGTCATATTGACCAACCCATAAGACACAATCATGACGACAAAGTAAGGCCATGATTCCCGTATCGGCGAAGAAATGGGTGCTAGCTTTCTCTTGTTTTTCGTCGGCAGCAAGAAAAGATTCCCTGCAGGCATCCCAATGTCGATACAGGGATGCGCATACCATCTTCGTACCCGTCTTCATTGCCTTCCGGCTTCTTGCGTTTTGTTCCACGACCAGGTAGGGAGCCTCGACAGGCAAGTACGTGAGCTTCCATCCATGCGACCTCTTCGTCCAAAATGAAAACTGATCGTGTTGGGTTTGGCGGATCTAGGCCATCGGCCCCATGTGGAATTGTCTGACCGTTTCTGTGTGAAGCATGCATCGATGCATACATGGCAATCTAGCCTGCAAAAAACATCAGCACGGGGGAAAACACGGTAGGAAAGACGTACTTGGAGATGCGAACCATGATCCTTTTGCCAATCCTGCATTTCCAAAACAAACTGGACAACGTGAACGGAGATAATCGCTTGGTTGTGCGGGAAACGATTGTCCCCCCAAAGAATGCGAAGAAGATGTTGTGAAATGAGGCCTGTATACGTGGTGTCTCCAGCATTCATCACAAGGACTGAGTACCAATGATAATGCGGTTACTGAAGCGGGGCGAAGATTGTCCTGAAGATGCCGAGAGCTTAGCTTACTTCAAAAAAGAATCGTGCAGGCAGACCTTGGTAGAAAGTTTGTAACCCCGAGCTGTTAGAAAAACTTCCAATGCTTCACACCAGGCTGTTGTATTGGGGGTGATCCGTACAAAAAGAGTTCTAACGAGCCTCTAGTACATGTAGGGTCAACAGCAAGAGATTGGAGCTATGGGTGCACACGCAAATAGCCCCAACTTAAGAAGTTGAAGGGGTGCGGGTGCGCAGGGGCAGCAGTCAATGTTCAAAACCTCTAAATCTGGACTACGGTCAATTCGAGCCACATAACAATATGGTGAGTTCGTACAATTGAAAAAACACAAGTCACTTCTAAAGTCCTCCTGTGGCATGAAGCCGTACACTCGACAGGATCATTTTGAAGTGCAGGCCGATGACGGAGCGAAGAAGATTTGTATTGATATGTGAGGTATGGACCGATTAGCGAAGGAATCACTTCGTTTGACCAGCGTTGCCACTGATTGAATTTTTCTGCCGCCCATTGGAGCGGAGGGATCGAGGAGCGGAGGGATCGGAGAAGTGGACATCGTCATAAAACGAAGGCCTGTCCTGGTCATTCGGATCAGGAGGTGGGACATCAAGCCGAGGATTGGAATTGGAAGCAGTTTGTTGGGCGAAATACCGCCTACCCGGAAGTACTAGAACTGGAGGAGGACCTGGAAGATGAAATGCGTTGCTTCCTCTGGTTTCCGGCGCTTCTTGACCATGGACGGTGTGATTAATATTTGCTGCGAATGACGACGGACAGGAGTTGCAGGAGTAGACGTCGAGGCGATATTCCGT